TCTAAGCCCAGAGCATGCTCAGATTCTGTGTCTCCCTCTCTCTCTGACCGTCTCCGACTTGTGTTCTGTCTCTCTCAACAGTAAATAAACATAGGAAAAAAAAAATTTTTTTTTTCAACGTTTATTTATTTTTTTGGGACAGAGAGAGACAGAGCATGAACGGGGGAGGGGCAGAGAAAGTGGGAGACACAGAATCGGAAATGGCTCTCTGAGCCATCAGTCCAGAGCCTGACGCAGGGCTCGAACTCACGGACCGCGAGATCGTGACCTGGCTGAAGTTGGACGCTCAACCGACTGCGCCACCCAGGCGCCCCGGAAAAAAATTTTTAATAAAAATAAAACCTAATTTAAAAATAATTTTTTTTGTGATCTTTCCTTTTTATAGATAAGAAAACTTATGGTGACTTTCTTGAAGAATTCCATCCAGTGCGTTGAAGTCTCCAAAATGCTTACTTTGGTTTCACTGATACCAGTTATGTCTGAATTTTGTGGAACATGTTTCTATGATACCTGAAGTTTATGTTAATCTGTATGTTAACACTTTGTGATTAAAATGGTCATCATGAACACTCTTGACTCCTTTTTGTCATAAGAAAAATAATTCACTGGAGAATGGTCCGTTTCCATTCACCCAATTTTAAGAAGACATCTGGCAGATTTACAGTGGAGTTTAGGTGGGGGCCCTGGGTGGCTCAGTCAATTAAGCCTCCAACTTCAGCTCAGGTCATGTTCTCACAGTTCGTGGGTTCAATCCCTGCTTCAGGCTCTGTGCTGACAGTTCAGAGCCTGGAACCTGCTTCAGATTCTGTTGTCTCCCTCTCTCCCTCCCCTTCCCCTGCTTGCTTTCTCTCTCTCTCTCTCTCTCTCTCTCTCTCTCTCTCTCCTCTCAAAAATAAATAAACATTAAAAAAATTTTTTTTTAATAAAATAAAATGGAGTTTAGGGGCACCTGGGTGGTTCAGTCAAGCATTCCTGACTTTTGATTTTGGGGCCTGCTTAAGATTCTCTCTGTCTTTCTCTCTCAAAAAATAAAATGAAGTTGAGTCGAGTTAGCAAACCAGCCTGTGGGCCAAATGTTGTCCGCTGCCAGAACGGTATATTGGAATATAGCCATGCTTGTTTGCCTGTCTATGGTTGTTTCCATGCTATAATGACAGAGTTGAGTAGTTGTGACAGACGTTATGGCCTGCAAAAGCTAAACTCTTTAATATATGGCCGATTACAGAAAAAGCTTACCTGTTCCTAGTGCTGGTAAAAGCAAAATAAAGTAACCCAGATTATGGAGGGTTTTCTGAATTTGCAGAATAATTTGGGCTTGATTCTATAGGTGGTGGGAAGTCACTAAAGCCTTTTTAGTGGAATAGCACAGTCCGGCTTGTATTTCTGAGCTCTCTGCAACAATCAACATAAAGGGTGGTTTAGGAGGAGACTCAAGACCAGAAGAACTGTTGGAACACTGATACTGCAAAGGGGTCTTTGGTTATGATCCAGGGATCACCCAGGAGAAAGTGGGCTCAGCAGCTAACGCTGTCTACAGCAGAGCTTGGTGTGATTAAAGGTAAAAACCCCACCTAACTGGAACGAATTTACCCTTTATCACTTCCCAAATCCAAATGTTTATCCAAAATGTGTTTGTTTGCAAGCTCAGATTTTATAATCAGATTGGTTTGGGGAGATTAATAAAATTATTTCTCAATACATTATATCAAATTAGAATGAATATACACATGTGGTTTCTGGACAAAATCAGATGAGTTCCATCTATTCTCTTGGGTCTCACTTGTTAAAAATGAAATTATGTCTGAGAAATTACTTCAGAACCTAATGAAGATAGGGGCGCCTGGGTGGCTCAGGTCATGATCTCACTGCTCGTGAGCTCAAGCCCCACATCGGGCTCTGTGCTGACAGCTCAGAGCCTGGAGCCTGCTTTGGATTCTGTCTCTGTCTCTCTGCCCCTCCACTACTCGCTCTCTTCTCTCTCAAATATGAAACAAATTTTTTTTAAGCTAATGAAGATATATATAAGTACAAAGTTTTGGGTTTTTTACTGCTACTGCAATAAATACGTTTATAGTTCACTTGTGGTTGGCAGGTACATGAGTGTGAACCATTCATCCCAAGGGACTTTGCTATGCCTTAGTTCTGGAGGGTAAAAAGCAAGGGCTAGAGCAAATACATGGTAAGGGTGGGAGAAAGTCAACCTATAATAATAGCACTCACATGCCAGGTGCTTTTGATTCATCATCTTTAATTTCCATAACAATCTTGTGAGGTAATACTATCCCATTTTATAGATGAGGAAATTTAGGCTCCGGTGAGTTGAATTAACGTCCAAGATCACATGGTAAATGACTGCCCAGAGAAAGGATGTGAATTTCAGTTGGGTCAGATGCTAAAACCTACGTCCTTTCTGGCATACCACACTGGCCAGGTAATACCTAGCCCCTCATGAAGCACTGGCCACCACCCCAAGCTGCTAAGAGGGTGAGGGGAGCTGTGAATAACAGCAGGCATCCTAAAGGTGACCTGGTGCCAAGTCCACAAGCTGGTGCTCAGAGCGAGAGAAGCATCCCAGAGAGCCAAGTCGCCTTTGTTTGCTCCCAGCGGCAGGTCCAGGCCTTTCTGGTCTGCGTCAGAGCTAGCGAAGTGTTCCGTGTCCTCATCAGAGTCTGCCCTCTGCCACTTAAAGGGATCTGTGGAGAGCCGAAATTTAAAAAACCGAGTCAGTATAAATTCATACAACATGCTTATTTAGTTAGGAAAAACAACGCAGCAGCTCATTGCTGTAGGGAAATCTGGCAATGCAGTTAGCAGTGTAAGAGTTGGGGTGTCAGAGCTGCGGTAACAGCTAGTTTCACCTCCGCGTTTCACTCACAGGGAAACTGCAAAGCAGAGAGGTGAAGTTGTCTGGGGTCATACAGGGTCAGTGGTAGACCCAAGACCAGAGCCCAGATTTTTTAACTTCTGCTGTACCAGATAGCCTCCATGAACATCAGGTTACGGTGTGCTCAAACATGGTGCAGAATGGCTGCTCTCGTCTTTGAAGGAGTTGGGTGCGGTTTCTTTTCTATTTTGCTGCTAAAGTTGACACTAACAAATTGGATTTTCTAGTTTTTTTTTTTTAATAATTTTTTTTTCAACGTTTATTTATTTTTGGGACAGAGAGAGACAGAGCATGAATGGGAGAGGGGCAGAGAGAGAGGGAGACACAGAATCGGAAACAGGCTCCAGGCTCCAAGCCATCAGCCCAGAGCCTGACGCGGGGCTCGAACTCAGGGACCGCGAGATCGTGACCTGGCTGAAGTCGGACGCTTAACTGACTGCGCCACCCAGGCGCCCCTCTAGTTTTTTTTTAATGTTTATTTATTTTTGAGACAGAGAGGGACAGAGTGAGAGCAGGGAAGGGGCAGAGAGAGAGACACACACACACAGAATCTGAAGCGGGCTCCAGGCTCTCAGAGCCCGACACGGGGCTCGAACCCACGAACCATGAGAGTTGGAGCCAAAGTTGGAGGCTTAACCAACTGAGCCACCTAGGCGCCCCTGTTTTGTTTTGTTTTTAATTAAAGTA